TCCTCGGCGCACCGGCCGTGGTGGAGGCGCGGGCTGAGCGGCGCGGGCCGAGCTCAGGCAGAGGACGCGAGGCGGCGGTGGCGGTGAGGCGGCCTGAGGGCTCCGGCCGGCCTCAGGAGAGCTTGGCCGCGACCATGTCGGCGGGCAGCCGCGACGAGGAGCGGCGGAAGCTGGCCGACATCATCCACCACTGGAACGCCAACCGGCTGGACCTGTTCGAGATCAGCCAGCCGACCGAGGTGAGAGCTGCTGCCGCCGCCTCCTCCGAGGTGGAGGAGGGGAGGGAGGGAGGGGGCGCGCGGGAGGGGGAGGGGAACGGATAGAGAAGGGGAGGGGCGCGAGGGGTGCGGGGGGGGGACCCGGGCCGCAGCTCCCGGAACCCCAGGCCTCCCCTCGGGGCCGCGCTCGTCTGCTCGCAGGCTCGGGTCCTTCCCCGCCCCCGGCCACCCATGCCCACCGCGGCCGGGCCCAGAGCGCGCCCCGCCCTTGTCTCTGGCGTCCCGCGACCCCCACCTCCGGGCACCGCCGCCGGTCCCGTTCCCCTCCACTGTGAGTGTCCCCTCACCCCCCCTCCCTCTGCGGACCCGTCGGCCAGGGTGGAGTCCCGGGGGACAGTGGGCTGCGCGGGGGCCTGCGCCACCTGTGTCTCCGGCCACCTCCCTGTGTCGCCGGGACACCATCTGGTCATCCCCAGTGTCCCCAGGACACCATCTAGTTGCTCACCTGTGCTCACGGCATCCCAACTGGCTGCCCACGGGACCCCACCAGCCCGCCCACCTGTGCCACCCGAACCCTACCTGGCTGTCCCTCTACGTCTCCGGGACCCCACCTGACTGCTCAGTTGAGGACTTGTCCTCCAGGGCCCGACCTGACCCCCGGGACCCACGTGCCCCCCCCCCCCTCAGGGTGCCGCCACGCCACCTGTGCCCCGGTGCCCTCCTTTCGCCTTCCCGCCGCAGAGCAGGGTCAGTGAACAGGAAGGCGGCAGCCGGCCGTTCACCGAGGTGTCCCGAGGCCCCGGCGGCGGCGCCGCCTTTAGTCCCGACCACAGCCTGTCTGATGGCGTCTCCGCGGGTCGGAACGTGGTGGCGGTCACTCGCTCGCCTCAGTGGTCGGGCGCGCGAGGTTGCCCAAGCTCCGCGCCCAGCACGCACTGTCCGCTTGGAAAGTTGTCCCGACTCCGCCGGCCGGCTTGGGCCTGGGCCAGCGCGGCTGGGCAGGGCGCCGTGGCCAGCAGGCAGGGCCGCGGGGACAGGAGGGATTGTAACAAAGCGGCTGAAAGACTTCTGCAGGGCTTTGCCAAAGGCGCAGAGCCCAGCCCTCTGGTTGGGAGAAGAGGGTGGGGACGCAGGAGGGGCCCAGTCGGGAGACCCTTGCCGACCTAAGGCTGGACCCAGAATTTGTGCCTGTTAAGATTATGCCCGTAGCACTTGTTTTGGATTTGTTGTAATGGGCGCTTCAAAGTTAACAATATTTGCTAAAATAGCAGCTCTTAGGCAACAAAACATATTTGGCAAATTACAACATTCATGAGAAATTTAAATCCTTTCCTTATCATTAAATTGCAGATTGTATTGTTGAATAAATTTAACTTTTTACTTTCTTGACACTAATTTTGCCTAGTGTGGGAAAGCTTGCAGTTCCTTCTGTCTTTATCTTTGCCTTGACCAAGTTTTACTTGGAAAGAGCCAGTGTTGTGAATCCTTAGTTAAATGCTAATATAAATTAAGTTCAGGCAGCTAACTTGAACACTAATGTTTACTCCTGATTCGCTTCTCAGGTTCTGTAATGATTTTATGAGTTGTAGTAAGCAAATAACTGTGTAGTAAGTGTTCATGACTTACTAGCACATCTTTTGAAAGATGACATGTGATAATTTAGTTTCAGTACTATGTTGTCTTTTAGAATAGTGTATTCATTTTTCATTTCGTTGCAGTGTAATAAAATTTAGATATAAAATAGTGTTTTGGTACATGATCATTTTGAGTTTTTTTATATGAATGGATCTGTTTTTCAAAAATGTTTGATATATTTCTCAAGTGTAGTTGAGAAAACCAGTCTTTTTCAGTTTAATAATAGGAAGTTCACCTTATTCTTTGGTATTTTAAATTGGGTTGTTAAAGAATTCCAATTCAGAAACATCATTGTTAATTGGTTAATTAAATTGTTTTAAATATTCAGCTGCAACACGTTCTTTATTTTCTTAGAGAGCTGAGTAGTCAAGTAAAGTTGGACTGTCATTGGAAAGCTGCTTCTTCAGTTTTTCTGCAGGTGAAAATTTGCTGGATGTACAAAACAAAATTTGAAGTTCTTTGGAAAAAGATTATGTATTTCATACTAGTTTTTTCTCTCCATTTATATTTGAACATTTCTGTTTTGAGAATTGATTCTTCAGAATTGTATTTGGAAGCCTTTCACAATAATTTTTTTTTAAAAGTTCATGTTAATTTTTAGCTTTATATCATTGTGTAGTAGCTAGCTCACACTTAATATTTGTTTTTTTTAGCTAATGATTTATACTCTACCTGGCCTTTATAAATAGTTGGTTTTCAATAAAAACATAAGCAATATACTATCCCTTGTTAAGGTACACAATAAATGTTGAACAAATTCTTTGCAGAAATAATAGAAATCAGATTTAAATCTTATATTGATTTACATGGGAATCTTTTCATGTGTAAGTGTGTGGAGAAGTTGTCCCCCCATTTTTGGTACAGTGATCAGTATCTGTTACTGGAGTTTATAGTTTCATTAATTATCAGTGGTTGCTGGTTTCACGTAGCTTTGATAAGCATTGGTAATTCTGTGGTTTTTATGTTCAGGAAGATGATTAAATTTGGTTGTTTGGATAATATTTATTTTTTTAAGAAAATAAGAATGTTTTAAAATCATTCTGGTTAAATTTGCTTTTTTCCTCACGTTCACTTTTCTTTTTTGTTACTCTGTTTTGAGACAAGGTCTTGCTATGTAGTTCAGGCCCATCTTGAACTCACTATGTAGCCCAGGCTGGCTTTGAACTCATGGCCAGCCTCCTGCCTCAGCCTCCTGAGTGCTGGGATGACAGGCATAGGGCACTATGACAAACTTTAGTGCTTTAGTCCTCTGAGCTATCTGTCGGCCCTTAAACAGTTTTTAAGCTTTAGGCCTCTCCTTTATTTTTAATTTGAAAGCTCTATTTCTTGAGAGATTACTAATTGCTTATGTAGAGTACTTTCTGCTAATCGTCATGTCTAGAGGAGAGGATTCTTCTCTAGAGAGTCTGCAGGAAGGGACTTTATGGTCACCTACAGGTCACGAAGTAGGCTCTTAACTCACCACTATTTGTTAAGATAGCCATTGATTTTTACTCAAAAGCAGGAATTTAGTTTTGTTCTTGAAAAATTGTCCCAACAAATATTTTGTGAAAAAATATTGAATATGACTTCTTAGTGTACCTTTATTCTGACAAGACATAAGATACATGCCTTTAAAAAATTTAGTGAATAGTAGTAGGCTAGAAGAATTTGTTTTCCATGTCTTATTCTTTGTTTTGAGTAAAGGCTATATATCTATATCTGAAACCATAGTAGGTAACTACTTGGTTTCATGAGATTTTTAGATGTCATTGGCTCATTATATATTGATATAATTGCCTTCTTTTTGTCCTGACACAAAAAATACAATTTGTTTAGATACCCACATATGCTTTATAATGGATGAAGGCTTCATTTTAATATTTCAATTAATCTTGAGAAATAATGTAATTAATATTGTGTAGAGATGTATACAAACAGTGGCTTCTGTTTGGTTAGCAGAGGTACAATAGGAAGTCTTCAAACGAAGAGGCAATGATTGCCTAATTTATTGTAGCTAAATCTATATTGTAGACGTCTTTTTTGAGGCAAGGTCTCGCTATGCAACTGAGGCTGGCCTTGAGTTTGCTTTGTAGCCCAGGATGGTCCTGAATTTGCAAGGATCCTCCTGCCTCAGCCTCTCGAGTGCTGGGATTCCAGGCGTGCACCACTACACCTGGCTCCAGACTATTTTTTTTGGTACTATAAATCAAATTCCTGACCTCTTGCTTGCCAGGGTGGTGACACGCTATGTCCCTGTCCTTATAGTGCAGACTTTTGTAGTTATTGAGACAGGGTCTCATATATAGGGGTTCAGGCTGACCTTGAATTTACTGGCCCATGGTGGCCTGGACCTCACTACACTCCTCTGCTTCCATCTTCTGCGTGCAACAGTTATAAAAACTGTATCATCATACCTAGCCATACTGATACAGGTTTTAACTATGATGCACCATGTAAGTTACCTTTACTTGAGACTGTTTTGAAAATGACAGTTGTATTTTTAGGCATTTGTACTGCTGAGAATCTGTCTTTCTGGGTACTAATGCATAGATCCATGGTTGCCATTGATGTGTTTTTAGTATTCATAGCCATCATCTCTTTCTTTGGATAGGTTGAGCTTTTCTATTAGTTTATAACGTTGTACAAACTTATTTGCCTGTTTGTAGGTCTTGTCTTAAGTTTAAATGTCTTTAGTTGAGATTATACCTAGACCAGTTTCAAATTGCCTTTCTTCTGCCAATAAAATATGATTTTATGCAATTTATTGACATAATGGAATGTAAATATTTTAACTATATAGACCTACATAGAATTTTGTGTTTATATTTTGATTGTGCTTAATTAACAATCATGTAATACAGGTGAATTAAAGTTCCTGCAAGCAGGCGTAGAAGCTGGGATTGGATCCCCAGGTCTGCTGTGCTGGCCCTGCCCCTGGAGCACCCTGAGATGGCAGTTGAGATTGGGTGTGGTGGCGTATTGCCTCTAATCCCAGCACTTGGGAGGTTTGTAAACGGGTAGATCCCTATGATCTAGTAATGAGACCCTGAACACCCTGTAGACCCTTCCCTAGAAAAATACAAAACAGAAAGAAAGAAAATTATTTCTGTTGGATGTGGTGGCATACACCTGTAATGCTAGGAATTAAGAGGCAGAGACAGGAGGATCACTGCAAGTTCAGAACCAGCCTGGGCTACTTAGTGAGCTCAAAGCCAGCCTGAACTACATAGCTAGACTCTGTCGTAAGAAAAAAAAAAAAAAAGAGAGAGAGAGAAAATTATTTCAACATTAAATAGAGCCTTGATTTTTTTGTTTAGATGTTTATTATTTTTGTTAGTTTCCTGACTGTTAATATATACATACATACTTGTTCCCCTTGAAGATCCTTATAACAAAGATACTTG